AAGTGCCACAGCAAGTCTTATGGCCTGACTGGTGTGTGTATGGGTGTGTGTATATATATATATATATATATATATATATATATATATATATATGTACATTTTGTAGGTTTAGCACTCCAGCTTCCCAGTCTTATAGCCCAGTGCTTGACTGCACTGCATATACCAATCAAAGTTCTAATGTGAACTGAAATTCTGACCTTCTGTGGGATCTTCAATAAATAAATTCTTCTTTTTTTCAAGATATAGAGTGCTGGCCACCTTTAACTTTTTGGGTATATATATTATTATTATTATTTAAAAAAATAAATAAAAAAAAAACATTACATATTCAAGCATCCTGTTACTTTCTTGTTTGGCAAGAGGCAGGCAATTGCTCAGAGCACCTACCTTGCGAAGATTTCTCATTGAGTTGTATTGGGATTTTGTGATTGGACAGCCACAGGAAGTCTGGGCTGGGGAAGAAGGGAAGGGTTTGCAAAGGTTTTAGTCAAGAGAATTGCAAGTTTTGCAAACTGCTTATATATACTGTATCTCTCAAAAGTGAATACACCCCTTACATTTCTGTAAATATTTTATTATATCTTTTCATGTGACAACACTGAAGAAATTACACTCTGCTACAATGTCAAGTAGTAAGTGTACAGCCTGTATAACCGTGTAAATTTGTTGTCCCCTCAAAATAACTCAACATACAGCCATTAATGTCTAAACCGTTGGCAACAAAAGTGAGTACACCCCTAAGAGGAAATGTCCAAATTGGGCTCAATTAGCCATTTTCCCTCCCCTGTGTCATGTGACTCATTAGTGTTACAAGATCTCAGGTGTGAATGAGGAGCAGGTGTGTTAAATGTGGTGTTATCGCTTAAACTCTCTCATACTGGTGACAAGAAGTTCAACATGCCACCTCATGGCAAAGAACTCTCTGAGGATCTGAAAAAAAATAATTGTTGCTCTACATAAAGATGGCGTAGGCTATAAGAAGATTGCCAAGACCCTGAAACTGAGCTGCAGCATGTTGGGCAAGACCATACAGCAGTTTCACAGGACAGGTTCCACTCAGAACAGGCCTCGTCATGGTTTACCAAAGAAGTTGAGTGCACGTGCTCAGCATCAAATCCATAGGTTGTCTTTGGGAAATAGACTTTTATGAATGCTGCCAGCATTGCTGCAGAGGTTGAAATGGTGGGGGGTCGCATAATGCATCAAATTGGTCGGCAATGCAATCGTCCAGAAGGAAGCCTCTTATAAAGATGATGCACAAGAAAGCCTGCAAACAGTTTGCTGAAGACAAGCAGACTGAAGACATGGATTACTGGAACCATGTCCAGTGATCCGATGAGACCAAGATAAACTTATTTGGTTCAGATGGTGTCAAGCGTGTGTGGCGGCAACCAAGTGAGGTGTACAAAGACAAGTGTGTCTTGCCTACTGTCAAGCATGGTGGTGGGAGTGTCATGGTCTGGGCCTGCATGAGTGCTGCCGGCACTGGGGGGCTACAGCTCATTGAGGAAGCCATGAATGCCAACATGTACTGTGACAAACTGAAGCAGAGCATGATCCCCTCCCTTCGGAGACTTGGCAGCAGGGCAGTATTCCAACATGATAATGACCCCAAGACGACTACTGCCTTCATAAAGAAGCTGAAGGTAAAGGTGATGGGCTGCCCAAACATATCTCCAGACCTAAACCCTATTGAGCATCTGTGGGAAATCCTCAACGGAAGGTAGGGAAACGCAAGGTCTCTAACACCCACCAGCTCTGTGATGTTGTCATGGAAGAGTGGAAGAGGACTCCAGTGGCAACCTATGACGCTCTGGTGAACTCCATGCTCATTAGGGTTAAGGCAGTGCTGGAAAATACTGGTGGCCACACAAAATATTGACATTTTTGGCCTAATTTAGATATCTCCACATAGGGGTGTACTCACTTTTGTTGCCAATGTTTTAGACATTAATTTATTTTGAGGGGACAGCAAATTTACACTATTATACAGGCTGTACACTTACTACTTTACATTGTAACAGAGTGTTGTTACTTCAGTGTTGTCACATTAAAAGATATAATAACATATTTACAAAAATGTGGAGGGGTATACTCACTTTTGTGAGATACTGTCTATGTATATATGTGGAATAAATGCATAATTAAATGATTGCAAGTTTTAAATTGGGGAATATCTACTAAAAAGTGAATTTTATTGATAATGCATTTGAGAAAATGTAGTGTCTCTTTAAGCACACAAAAAAATAAAATCTGGAGCTGTGTCCATATTGGGTGTTACAAGTTAACAGAGACCACCCACGAGCTACTATCTACCTCCAGGAAGAATTCCCTTTGAGCCCAGCACTTTATTTTACTACCGGCAACTTAAACTGATGAATAGAATGCATTTCTATGTATTTCCGAACATTAATAGAACTTTATGTTTATCTATTTCAACACATTTAAAATACAGCTTATTTACATTTATTTCAACACATTAATTGCGCACTAAAAAAGCCATCAGCATGCATATTTTATAAACATTTTTTTTTTTTTCTTACCACCAAATGTGCTTCCCACAGATATTTGTTTGTATTTAAGAATAATTATGCAGAGTACAACTGGAAGCTACATAGGGGGATATTTGAATATCGTAGAAATCACTGCTATCTTTATTATATTCAAACTGAGTTACTTTTTAACATCAATAAATACACTCGGAACATATCAATGCTTTTTATACTTTAGGTTAAAAGCTCAATTCAGTTAGAAGGAAAAAAAAATACTATATTGTATGGAAAGAATGATACACTGTATTTATATGCAACAGTTATTTTATTTCTTTATGTTGTTAGATACATAAGATATTTATCACTTTAAGACACCTTTGCTCACACTAGTTTTGCACCTACTTCTAATTGATTGGTTGCATACAATTTGTTACTCAGCATTGTGATTGAACGATGTTTCTTGTGTACACCAATATAACACTTCGTCATGACATACCTTATTCATGGCTTGAGAAAGACAACTTTAGTGTTGAAACATTGCCCTTTGATTACTAAATTAAACCCCCATTATATCACGAATTGCCAGGTGCTGGGGTGCTCCTCCTTTCTTTTACGAATTTGTAGTCCTGTGTGACCGGGACTGTACAAAAAGCACAGACAGCCAAGATTGGCCTTCTATTTTTGCTCCACAAAACTTCATGCTATCCTCTGGTTGATAAGATTAAAGGCTAGCCTTCACTCCCCACGTGCATCAAGGAGACTTAAGCGCCCATGATCCTGACACCGGTTTACCTGTTGTCCTTCTTTGCACCACTTTTGGTAGGTACTAGCCACTGCATACTGGGACCACCCAAGTTGTTTAGTCATCACTATTTGGCCCTTGTCAAAGTTACTTCTCTCTTGTTCATTTTTCCTGCTTCCAACACATGAAATTCAAGAACTAACTGTTCACTTGCTGCCTAATATATCCCACCCCTTGACAGGTGCCACTGTAACAATATAATTAATGTCATTTACTTCACCTGTCAGAGGTTTTAACCCCTTAACGCCGTTAGGGCGTACTATGCCGCCCCGTATTTAGTGAGCCTAAACGCTGTTAGGGTGGCATAGTACGCCCTAACTATCGTGCGCTCCCCTGTGCCTGCAGACTTACCTGGACAGCAATTCTGGTCCGGAAGGACTGCCTCTTGAGACAGGCCATCTCCCTGCTTCAATTTTGGCCCTCCAGGGCCATGTGATCACAACAGATGGAGTTATGCAGTGGCGTAACTAGAAACCATGGGACCCCGGTGTGAAAATTTCCCTGGGGCCCCCACCCATACGTCTATCCCCCGCCACCCCCCTATACGTCTACCCTCCCCCTCCCATACATTGCCCTCAACACACACACATATACAGAGACATACATACACATACAGACACACAAACATGCATACAAACACACACACACACAGAAACACATATATACAGACATATACATACATACAAACACACACACAGACACAAACACACATACAGACACCCAGACAGACATACATACAAACACACACACACACAGAAACACATATATACAGACATATACATACATACAAACACACACACAGACACAAACACACATACAGACACCCAGACAGACACACACACACATACATACAAACACATGCATACATACAAACACACATACAGAGAAACATTCATACAGACACACACATACATTCAAATAAACACACACATATACAAAATATTTTAGTCACCCTCCTGTTTCCTGCCTTTTAGATGCAGGAGGGTGACTTTCCTGGGGTCCAGTGGCTCAGCATGATGGTAGTCAGAGTTCCCACTCTCTCCTTCCTCCTCCCGCGCAGCTCTTGGTGGTTGCTGGGAGGAAGTGACCGGATCAGTTACTTCCTCCCAGCCTCTGACCTGATCTAAGGGGGCCCAGTCGCGGTGTTAGTGCCACAACGCTGACGCCCCCCCTGGAAATCCATAGCCATTGGGTGGCCTTAACAACATGGGCCATCGATGGGCCCCTTAATGTGTGGCCCCGGTGGTGGGCACATAGTGGCAGGCAGCGCCATCGCAGGGGGTCGCAGTGGTTTGCAGGGCGGCCAGGCCCTGTGGTGTGACTGGTCCAGTCGCAGCTGCAACCTCTGCGACCGAGGTAGTCCCGCCACTGTGAGTATTTATGTATGTATATATATATATTCGACATGTATTCTACTATTTTTGCATAATTAAGTAAGAAAGTACAGTGAATTTAATTAACAATAGACATGTGCAATTTGTTTCATTCCGAATGCAAATTCGAAAATGCTTCGGATTTCTGAAAAGTGGCAAAACAGGAGAGGGTTAGGGTTAGGGGTTGGGTTAAGGTAGGGTTAGTGGTTGGGTATTGATAGGGAGTAGGTTTAGGGGTATGGTTAGGGGTAGTCTTAAGGGTTGGGCTTGGGTTAGGGGTAGGGTTAGGGGTAGGGTTAGGGGTTAGGGGTTACGGTTAGGAGTTGGGATAGAGTTAGGGTTAGTGGTTGGAGTAGGGTTAGGGGTAGAGTTAGGGTAGGGTAACCCTAACCCTATTCCTAACCCTACCTCTAACCCTACCCTTACCCTAACCCTAAACCAACCCTACCCCTAGCCCAACCCTAACCATACCCCTATCCCTACCCTTAACCCTAACACTACCCTTAACCCTTAATCCTACCCTAACCCTACCCCTAACCCTACTTTTAAACCAACCCTAACCCTACCTCTAACCCTATCCCTAACCCTACCTCAACCCTAACCCTACCCCTAACCATAAACCAACCCTAACTCTACACCTAACATTAAGAATGACATATATATATATTTTAGTATTTTTATTTATATATAGATAGAGCTATATATATATATATATATATATATAATTTATAGCTATATATACATAAAAATAGTTTTAGAAAAGTATATATATATATATATATATATATATACATTTAAATTCTACAAATATATTTATATAATATTTTTACATAATCAAGTCATTTTATTAATTACAATTTAAGGTGCCTGCCTGACAACCCAGGCAGAAAGTCCAGAGAATTTGGCTCACAAGCCCTATATTTAACCCTGTAACTTTCCAGGACACCATAAAAACTGTACATGGGGGTCACTGTTTTACTCTGGAGACTTCGCTGATCACAAATATTAGTGTTTAAATGCAGTTAAACATATCACAATGATGATATCGTCAGTAAAAATATATTTTTTTGCATTTCTCACACACAAACGGTACTTTCACTGACGATATAATTGTTGTGATACATTTTACTATTTTGAAACACTAATATTTGTGTTCGGCGAAGTCTCCCGAGTATAACGGTAACCCCTTCACCCATGTACAGGTTTTATGTTTTTTTTAAAAAGTTACTGAGTCAAATATAAGGCTTGCATTTCAGTTTTTTCACATTGAAATTTGCCAGACTGGTTATGTTGCCTTTGAGACCGTATGGTAGCTCAGGAATGAAAATTACCCCCATGATGGTATACCATTTGCAAAAGAAGACAACCCCCAAGGTATTGCAAATGACAATGCTCAGATCCCTACCACCGCTTAAGAAATGCACAAAAAAAGTTCAAAAAAATCCCAAAACTGCTGCAACAAATTTCCAGAATGGCTCCAAAACTCGATGCAGAAACTGCTCCAAGACCTCCACACTCCATGCCACGTGCTACCACAGACTCCAGCATGCACGGGGGGCAGTGCTATAAACCTCCCAGGCACAATGGTTCCCAGGGAAACTTGCATTTGTATTGCTAAAAAAAAAATTGTAAACCGAGGATTATTTTCAATGGATTTTCATTTGTAAACCGAAAATTATGTTAACCGAGGCGTTTGTAAATCGAAGTACCACTGTACTTTACTGCAGTAACAGCTAACAGTATTGTGACATTCCCAGTTAAAATGCCATGCAGAACTAAAAAAAATCAAAATAATTCTAAATTTCTCTTTTTTATATATTTTATTCATATTACATTATGCTTACTATACAAATATTTGACGTGACATGAAAGCCCTGTTTCCCATGAACAAGATTATATATTATAAGTGTGGGTGCATATAATATGAAAGAGGTGAATTACGCCTGAACAGACATATAGCGCAAATTCAAGGTTTTGTTTACGTTTTGTTTTGATCATAACTTGTACAATTGGCTCAGTCCTTAACCCATTAAGGACGCAGCTTCAGAAGCTGGACATACCCTTAAGGACTCAAGCTATTTTTGCATTTTTTGCTGTTTGTGTTCAACTGCAATTTGCATCGCTCTCATTTATTGAATCAACACATATTATATATTGTGTTTTAAAGGACAAGATGGGCTTTACTTTCATGTGACATACATATATAAAATCTAATTTATTATTTAAAGAAATTTAAAAAATGAAAAAATAATCCTCTTGGATCGGCAGGATTAACATAATTAATGCTTATATTATGCCCAAATGGTCCTATTTATTTAGGATGATTCCTCTTCAAATTCCAGAAATTTGGTTAACTATGATAGAATCTAGTTTTCAAAAATTTATCTGGAAAACGACAAGGTCTAGAATAAGTTCTAAAGTTCTCTCTAGGAAACCTCAAAATGGAGGTATAAATTATCCAAATATTAGAAATTGTTATTACGCTAACATAATTGGTCATATATATAAATTGCAGGTTGAATCGTTTAAAACAGACACATGGTACCTAATCGAATCCGAGGCAGTTGGAAAAGATAGATTGGAAATGTATTTATGGCTTAAAAATAACAAAAAAACGATAGAATTTTTATGTAGCAAATCATTAATTTTGTCACAAATTATTAGTGCTTGGGAGAAGATAAAAAAACAAAAAAAAATCTCTGATAAAATAATTAAGTCATCCCATTTGATCATTTTAGAAGATAATATTGAGGATATTTCTTTAAATAAATGGTCTAAATATCAATGGACGATTGGAGATATCCTCCATGATGATCAAATTCTATCTTTTGTGGACATTCAAACTAAACTTCATCTCCCTAACAAAGAATTTTTTTCTTATTTAAGAATAAAAAAAAGTCTAAATATGTTTTTACTAAATATGTCACCAAAAATTGATATTCTTTTTCAAACTATTTTTAGATATACCAAGGTTAATAAAATTCTTTCAAAAGCTACTAATTTGTTATCCAACCTTGATCAACAACCCTTAAATATACTTGATAAATGGAAAAATATCCTAAAGATTGATATAACTGAGCAGGAATGGTGTTTGTCTCTTAGAGACACTCGTAAATATATTCATTGTCAGAATTTATTTGAATGTCAATATAAGCTTATGTATAAATGGTATTTGACTCCATATAAATTAGCTAAGATGTACCCAGGTCAAACTTCTCATTGCTGGCGTTGTGGCTCTACAGAGGGAACACTTGTTCACATATGGTGGCATTGTAAATTGGTTAAAAATCTTTGGGAGTGGTCCTTTGAAATTCTTAAGTGTTTATTTAATATCACAATCAAAAAAGGTCCAGATACAGCATTGTTACATTTAAACTGGAAACTCTCTTCCACCCCATCTAAATGCCTTACAAACCATTGTTTCCTGGCAGTAAAAATAATAATAGCAAGGCAATGGAAGTCACATCTCCCTTTTTTAAGGAGTCAGCTTGTCAATCAAATTTTATATCAATTTCAAATGGAAAAAGATTTACCACTTCCTTCTATATTTTCTTTAAAAAAACAAGATCAATATATAAATTGGATACGGATCTTAGAAAACAAATGAATTATTCCTTTGTACCTCTTCCTGTTTGGATTGCGGCAGACCCTAATAAAATTCTTATTATAGGGATATTTTCTTTTAGATTTTCAGACTGACCATGGCCCATATATATATGTATTTATATTTACACATCTATATCTATTTTTTGCTAGACGATAGTTCTATAAGATATAGAATATATTTGTACTGTGAGATCTTTAGCTGTCTAGCTTGAGATTTACCTAATATATAGGTTTAAATCAGTTGTAACAATGTAAATCATATGTTTCTTGTTCTGTCATTGTCACACTTGTCTCGTTTCTGTATGCACTTTATTATTTGTCAATGTATGATAAAATGTTTTAATAATAAAAAAAAAAGAAAAGGAAAAAAAAAAAAGGAATAGAAAAAATGAAAAAATATATATTTTTTTCACAGTTTTGGCAATAATAGTGTGTGCATAATATGTCCAGCTTAGGAAAAGTAATTCAAAATAAATTCATATAGGTGTCTTGTTTTTCAAAGTGCATAATATGTAAAGGATTTCAGCTTATTTTAAAAGTTACAGGTCACAAATTACAAGGAGTAATATAAAATTTAAATGTGAAAAAAATTTAGAAGTTGGTATGTTTGACTTGTAAATTTAATAGCCGTCACAGAAAACAAAATTGCTACACAAAAGTATATATTTATATAAAGAAGACATCACAGGCTATTTATTTAAGGGTATTTTGACACTTTTTACATAGCCATTTCCCCACCAATCTCTGCTACATATTGTATTAAAATTGTGTTTTTTATGTTTTTTGAAATACACACATATAACAAGGTTTTTAAATGTGTATTTTGTAAAGCTGCTGTGTGCTATTCCTGGTCACAATCCCATTTTGTGTACAACAATACCCCCATCGTATGCCTTTGCCACTATTTTGGGAAGCTACAATGACATATAAGAGGCCAGACTATTTCAGTTTCTACAGTTAGAAAATTCAAGGATGAATTTAATGGACCTATGTCTTATTTTGGGGCATTAAAGTAGTTTGGTTGTTCAAATGACCACACAAAGGCCTTCCATTCGTAAAAGAAGACACTCCATGGTATCTCATATGGCATATATTTTGCCTTAACGGGTCACCATTTTTTCACCATTATATGTCACAGTTTGTGTTAAAAAAATATTTTTCGCATTTTTTTACTTAAGCATTGCATTTGTGCTGGGCATTTTGTAAATTTGATATGTTCCACTATGATCAAACACCCCTAATTATGCTCAGCTAAGTCGTCTGAGTAAAACAATACCCCCAATGTATGACTTTGACACTATTTTGTGATGCTACAGTGCCATAAAGGAGACCTGACCATTTCAGTTTTTAGAGTAGAATTTTGAGAGACGGATTTGCAGGGTTTATGTTTCAATTTGGGCCATTATAGCAGTTTGACTGTTTCAATAACCACAAAAAGGCCTACCATTTGTGAAAGTAGACACTCCAGGGTATCTCATATGGCATATATTGTGTCTTAACATGTTGCCATTTTTTCACCATTATTTGTAAAAGTTTGTGGTAAAAAAATATTTTTCATATTTTTTACTTAAGCATTACATTTGTGCTGGGCATTTTGTATATTTGATATGTTCCACTATGATCAAACACCCATACTTATGCTCAGCTAAGTCTTCTGAGTAAAATAATACCCCAATGTATGTCTTTGGCTGTATTTCCTGAAGCTACACTGCCATATAGGAGACCTGACCATTTCAGTGTTTACAGTAGAATTTTGAAAGATGAATTTTATAGGTTTATGACTCATTTGGGGGTCTAATAGCAGGTTGCTTATTCAAACTTCCCCAACAAAGGCCTACCATTTT